TCCCCGCCTCGGCGAGCTGCCAGGACCCGCGCCGGGGCACTCACGGGGTCACCACCCCCAGCCCACGTCCGGCCCGGCCCAAGACTCGGCCGGACCCATCCACCCTCCCGACTCTGCCCTTCCCCTCCACCCCTCCGATTTCCCACTGCCCAGGTTACACTTCGGTTCACTCCCAGGAACCCCCAGTTTTCAGTCCAGGCCTCTCATGCTGACCTCGGAGCTCCCCATCCTGGTGAAACCCTTTCGGATTCTGCCCCTGTACTTCCATCCGTGCCCCGTGCCCCGAACAGCCCTGCCCCTCCCTTCTGACTTCAGACCCCCTGCTCTCCCCACTCCCCTAGATCCGCCATCTCTGGCATTCTCCAGACACCCGGACCACCAGCTCCGAGTCCCAGATCCCGCGCTGAGGGATCCTGCGCTTCTTGCCCTTTGGTGGGGCTCCTCTCTCCCTAACTCAGATTTGTACATTCAAATGCATCCAGGCAGCCCAGGATACAACCCATGCCTTTGGGCGAGTCAGGTTCCTGTCTGTAAAATGGGCACAACAGTACCTATCTCGTAAGATTTACTGAGAATTAACTGAGCTAGCCCAGTGCGGATGCTCTCCTCCCTCCCTCGTTCCTTCTTCCTTTCTACAGAGGAAAAAGTGATTGCACACCTGAATTTCCTTCTGTTTTTTACTTGGTGCTAGCACACCTTCGTTCATTTTTCTCCTCCCAACTGCAGGACCTGGCTTTGTTTTTTATCTGCCCTAAACACTTAACCACGGCTTTGAGTGTGTGATTATTTATGGGGAGAGCTGTAAAACTGTAACTTTTCTTAATCCCCCAAAACCACAGAGATTGACTTTCCAACTCAAACGCTTCCAAGAAGGGATGAACAGTAAATTGGCTACATATTCATCTCAATATACACAGAATAAGCATTTGACAAAATCCAACACCTTTCATGATAAAAATACTCAGGAAAAAAAAAAAAAACCTCAGCAAACTAGGAATTGAAGGAAACGTCCTTAACCTGATAAAAGAGCATCTATGAAAAGCCCACAACTGATGTCATCTCCATGGTGAAAGATTGGCTGCCTCCTACCCTGAGATCAGGAACAAGCAAGGATGTCAGCTTTTGCCATTTCTTTTTAATATTGCACTGGAAGTTCTAGCCAGGGCAGTTAGGCAGGAAAAAAGAAATAAAGAGCATGCAGATTGGGGAGGAAAGTCAAACTACCTCTATTCACAGATGACATGATCTTCTATACAGAAAATCCTAAGGAATTCACACATGGACACACACTATTAGTGTTTATACAAATTCAGCAATGTGGCAGGATCCTAGATTAACATAAAAATCAGTTGCATTTCTATACACTAGCAAGGAATGGCACAAAAATGAAATTTGGAAAACAATTTAACTAAGGAAGTGGAAGACGTGTACACTGATGACTACAAAACATTGCTCAAATGAACAAAGACCTAAATAAACAGACATTTGTGTGGTATGTCTGTCAGAGTTCTATCAGAGAAAAGGAACCAGAAGGAAATAGATATATATAGATAGGTAGATAGACAGATATAAATATATATGAAATTCTTGGGCAGGAGCTGAAATTCTAGTCCACTGGTAGAATTCTTCCTCTGAGAAACCTCAGTTTTACTCTTCAGGCCTTTCAACTGATTAGGTGAGGCTCAAATCACCAAAATAATCTCCTTTACTTAAAGTCAACTTGTGGAAGTTAACCAAATCTACAATACACCTTCATGGCAACAACTAGATTAGTGTTTACTTGAAATTCCTAGGCACCATGGCCTAGCCAAGGTGCCACACAAAACCAATCATCACAGGTGGCAAAACTGATGTACAAATCCTATGTAATCTCTATCAAAATCCCAACTGCCTTTCTGGCAGAAATAGACAAGCTGATACTAAAATTCATGTGGAATTGAAAGGGGCCCTGAATAATCAAAACAATCTTGAAAAAAAAAAAAAAAAGGTTGAAGGACTCACATGTCTGGATTACAAAATTAACTACAAAGGTACAGTAATCAAAGCATGTGGTATTAGCATGAGAATAGACATATAAATAAATAAAGTTGAGGGATATAAACCCATACATCTGTGGCCAATGGATTTTTGATGAGGATGTCAAGACCATTCCATGGGGGAAGAGTCTTTACAAGTGGTGCTGGAAGAACTGGATATCCACAGGCAAAAGAATGAAGTTGGATCCCGACACCATATACAAAAAATTAACTCAAAAGGGAAAAACTATAAAACTCTTGGAGGAAAACAAAAGTGTAAATCTTCACGATCTTGGATTAGGCAGTGGTTTCTTAAATGTGACACCAAAAAGCGCAAGCAGCAAAAGAAAGATATAGATAAACTGAACTTCATGGAAATTTAAAACCTTCGTCCATCAAAGGACACTATCAAGAGAGTGAAAAGACAACCCACAGAATGAGAGAAAATATTTGCAAATCATATATTTGATTATATATTTTATTGTAATCATATAGAATGATTAATCGATCTATCCAGATTTTATAAAGAACTCTTACTACTCAACAACAAAAAGACAAACAACCCAATTTTTAAAATGGGCATTGGGATGATGAAAAAATTCTGGAGAAAGGCAAAACTATGGAGAGAGCAAAAAGCCCAGCGGCTGCCAGAGACGGGGCATCAGGGCTAGATGAACAGGCAGAGCACAGAGGACTTTTAGGGCAGTGAAAACATCCTCTGTGATACTATGATGGATGCTTGTCATTATGCGTCTGTCCAAACCTACAGACTGTACGTCAAGAATGAACCCTAATGTAAACTACGAACTTTGGGTAATTATGATGTCAGCATAGGTTCATCAATGGCCCACTTGAGTGGGGATGCTGATAATGGGGGAGGCTGTGCATGTGTGGGGGCGACGGGTATATGGGAAATTCCTCTATCTTCCTCTTAAGTTTTCTGTAAACCTAAAACTGCTTTTTAAAATTCTTTTTTAAAAAAAGTTCTCGGAATGAATGGTGCTGATAGTTGCATATTGTGAATATACTTTAATGCCACTGAAATGTTAAAAATGGTTAAAATGGTAAATTTTATATTCTATGTATTTTACCACAAAATGATAAATTTAAGTTAAATTAAAAATGGGTAAAGGACTTGACTAGACATTCCTGCAAAGAAGGTATACACCAGTGGCCAACAAGCACTCGAAAAGGTGCTCAGCATCATTAGTCATCAGGGAAATGCAAATCAATCAAAACCACAGTGCGATACCACCTCATACCCACTATGGTGGTTGTAAAAATGTTTTTACTGGTAATAAATGTTGGGAAGGATGTGAAGAAATTGAAATCCTTGTAAATTCCTGGTGGGAATGTAAAATGTTGCAATTGCTTTTTCACCCCTAGGTAGATACATAAAAGAATCAAAAACAGGTATGCGAACAAAAATTTGCATAGGAATAGTCACAGCAGCATTGTTCACAATAGACAAAAGGTAGAAATAACCCCAATGTCTAACAACTAATGAATGGATAAACACGATGTGGTCTACCCATATGATGGACTGTGATTTGGTCACAAAAAGGAAAGAAGCACTGATACCTGCTATGAAGTGGATGAATCTGGAAAACATTCTGCTCAGTGAAAGAACCCAGACAGACACAAAAGGCCAGATATCATATGATTCCCGTTACATGAATCTTCGAAAATAGGCACATCTATAGAGATGGAAAGCTGATTAGTGGTTTCCAGGAGCTGGAAAG